CTGGCCCCGATGCTGGGTCAGGCGCCGCCGCCACCCGCCCCGCCCAGGCCCATGCTGGCCGCCTGGCTGCTCGCCTGTGTCGTGCTGACCGCCGCCTACCAGGGCATGCTGCTGGGCAAGCTGTCATCGGCTGTACCACGGCGCGAGCTGGAGAGCCTGAAAGACCTCGAGAACAGCGGGCTGCCTGTGAAAGCGAAGGGATACTTGGCGTACAACGATATGCTGACCGACAACCTGAACACGCGAACAGAGCTTGTACCGGACACAGAGATCAAGACGGTCATCGACACGATCGCCACCGCTCGCAACTGCGCCCTCGTTACTGTCAACAACCGACACACTCTCAGCTATATGCGGCCCTACATGGTGCCCAAAAAGCTGCACGCCATTCGATTGAGTTACTCCCAAGTCGAAATCCTCGCGGTCACCACGATGGGGTCGCCGCTGGAGCGCCCCCTCGCCACGGCGCAAGGGCGCGTCGAGGCCGCGGGTCTGCTGGCGCGTTGGCGCCGCGCCGAGTACGAGCGGGAGTACCGGGACGACGCCAAGAGGCTGGTGTCGCTCCGGGGGCCGAAGTCCATGACGTTGTGGCACCTGCAGCCGGCTTTCGTCGTGCTGGGCGCCGGCCACATGGCGGGCGTGGTGGCCTTTGCCCTCGAGGCGATGTGTGCATGGCGCGCTCGCTGGGCCGGGAAGACAATCGAGTAAAGGTGTCTTGGGACTTGAACCACAGGGCTCCGAGGTACCCCTTTGTCTGCAGACGTCAAGCTGCGGTTAATATTATGTTCCGCACATTCTTCACCGGGCCCAGCACAACTGTGCGACTGTGCGTACAAATTTGGTCTCGTTGGACGTAGCCATTTCTCGTAGTAAGAAATATAAGGTGAGTGCACGTCAAACAATGCACCTCACTATCCCGTTAACACAATCACTCGTCTCTCCAGCGATTTCCCACAATCAGCACCATCAGCACCGAGTGGCAGCTGCTCCGACACATTGACGGGCATATGCAATGCAGGAAGTGTTCGCGCCACTAGCGCTAGTTGTGAAATTCGGTGAATTCCACATTTAGCCCGCCTTTTGAGGCTCCGATACAAATCGCACATCACTGTCTATGACGTTCACGGTGCACAGCGCAGGCTACTGATCGAGCGATAAGACTTGCGGCAAGCACTATTTCCTGCTGTTGACTATTTCTGTTCTATGGACCGTCCGGAACTCTGACGAGATGCGCGTGTCAGACTGGATTCGATTGGGACAAGAAAGGGCGCCGCCGGCACCACTTCGACTGGGACTCGATGCCACCATGGAGGCCCGCCTGGTCGTGCTCCTCCTCTGCTGTGCGGCGCCCGGGGTGCGGGCCGGCCTGCCCGTCGTGGACTCGGCCGCGCCTCCCGAAGCCAGGAGCGCCGCAGCGCTGCTCACGCCGTTCATGGCGCCCCAGAAGGCCACTCTCGTCGTACTGGGCAGTTCGCGTTGGACCGGCGCCTTCCTCCGAGAGCTGTCCGCAGACATCCCGCG